TGGGCATAAGCTTTTATTTTCTGCACTGAGGAGCACATGGAAACCTACCGCTCTCGTTTTGATGTTTCTAATTTATCTTTTAACATCAAGATTTCTCTCTTCACGACCAACTGCTGGCTTTCTGAATCATGCACCTCCTTCAGGTTTTTCACTGCTAGCACATGGGAGGCCTCATGTCTGACCAATTCCTCTTCACAAAATAAGATGTTTATCTCAAGCTTGCATTTTATTTTGGAAATCTCTTGCGGATGCTCTAAAGGGGCACCTGGTCCCTGGCCTCCTTGCTTCACCTGCAGAGGAAGGTTCATATAAAGTGATGAATCTGTGTGTCTTCGAGGCTCACACTGTCCTTTTATCCCGGCAAGTGCTGACACCTTCCGAAGGACCATTTGCATGCCGGACTACCCCAAATGATGTTGCTGACCTGCAAAATGTGATCCAAACTCTAGGGGCTGCCTTGCAGGGAGATGTGTCCAGATCTTCCTGGGACCCCAGAAGCTTTGCCCCGCCCTCTGTTCATTCACCCATGCAACATTCTTTTGAGGGCTGACTGTGCCCAGCCCCCTTCTGGTGACTGAGGTGACATAGGGGTGTCTGCTCTCGTGGGTGGGGGTACTGACAGCCAACCAGTAAATGAGCAGATGAGACACAAGCACAGGCTGGGTCATAAGGAATGGAGAGCATGCCTGGTGGTTATGGACAGCATCTATGAGGTGGTGACCTATTAAGTGAGTATCAGGCCAGGGGCAAAGAACAAGGCCTGGGTGAGGGGGTGAGGTGGGAATGCACTGCAGGTGCTCATGGCACAGAGAGAGGCCAGTGTGTCTGGGGTGGTGGTGGGGAAGGTGCGGGAGAGGTGCTTCCAGGCTGCTGGAGAGCTGTGGAGTGACGGGGGCCCTGGCTGTGAAAGTGATGTGTTCTGACTTCAGCCTGCCAAGCTCACCCTGATTGCCATGTGGAGAGGAGACTCAAGGGCCGAAAAAGGGGCAGGGAGGCGCAGGTACCAGCATGCTGAGGTCCAGCCAAGCTGAGCTGCTGGTGGTTGGATCAGGCAGCAGCAAAGACGATGGAGAGGAACAGATATCTCAGGTACATATGCTAGAGGAAGAGTTGACAGATTACTGAGGCAGGAGGGAGAGGGGAGACCCATCACACCCGCCTCACATAGGAGGAGACCCAGGCTGCACTGCACTGCCAGGAGACCGGTCCACTGACCCAGGCCACGCTAAGCTGCCAGGAGACCCATCCACCGACCCAGGCCGCACGACACTGCCAGGAGGCTGGTCCACCGACCCAGGCCACACTACACTGCCAGGAGACCCATCCACCGACCCAGGCCACACTACACTGCCAGGAGACCCATCCACTGACCCAGGCCGTGCTACGATGCCCAGAGACCCATCCACTGACCCGGGCCAAGCTACGCTGCCAGGAGACCTGCCCACTGAGCTCTTGCCCAGGCTCAGCCACTGTGGCCTTCTGTGCTCAGTCCCTCCTTGGCCTCCATGGCACCCTTTGGTCCCACCAACTGGCCCTGACGATGGCCAGCCTGTCTTTTCTCTGGTCAGCAGCAGGTCATGGGTTTTAAGGAGCTTTTCTAAAACTGAACTGCACTGAATTTAGAAAACCAGGATATGAAGAAGGATATGAATTGATTGGACTGAACCAGGATAGGAGTTGATTAGATGTTAGTGTACTAGGACTTATTGTGAACTGCCTGAAATTTTTATGTAGAAAAAAAAAAAAACTTGGTGATATAATTTCAAATCTCATGTGAAATTGTAATCCCCAGTGTGGGAGGAGGGACCTCGTGGGAGATGACTGGATTATGGGAGATCTCCCCCTTGCTGTGTTTGTGATAGTGAGTGGGTTCTCATGAGATCTGGTTGTTTGAAGGTGTGTAGCATCTCCCTGCTCTCTCTCTTCTCCTGCTCTGGCCACCTAAGATGTGCCTGTGTCCCTTTCCACCATGATTGTAAGTTTCCTGAGGCCTCCCGAGAAGCAGAAGCCTGGATAGCCTGCAGAACTGTGAGCCAATTAAGCCTCTTTTCTTTATACATTATCCAGTCTCAGGTAATTCTTTTTTGTTTGTTTGTTTTTTGAGACAGAATCTCACCCTGTCACCCAGGTGGGAGTGCAACGGCGGAATCTCGGCTTACTGCAACCTCTGCCTTCCAGGTTCAAGCGATTTTCCTGCCTCAGCCTCCCGAGTAGCTGAGATTACAGGTGCCCGCCACCATGCCCAGCTAATTTTTGATACTTTTAGTAGAGATGGAGTTTCACCATGTTGGTCAGGCTGGTCTTGACCTCCTGACCTTAGGTGATCCACTTGTCTCAGCCTCCCAAAGTGCTGGGATTACAGCCATGAGCCACCACGCCTGGCCTCAGGTAATTAGGTAATTCCTTTTTTTTTTTTTTGAGATGGAGTCTCCACTCTGGTCACCCAGGCTGGAGTGCAGTGTTGCGATTTTGGCTCACTGAAACCTCCACCTCCCGGGTTGCAGCAATTCTCCTGCCTCAGCCTCCTGAGTAGGTGGGATTACAGGTGTGTGTCCATTCATGCCCGGCTAAGGTAAATCTTCATAGCTGGGGGGGAGAATGGTATAATCCCCTTGGCTTTCAAACATGAACAGTCAAGAAGCAGGGCCTTGCCCACCTCTCCACATCCCTGTCTTGTCTGGAACTGCCTTGGATAATGCCCCGCTGGGACCAGCACATTTACACAAGGTTGATGCCTACGTGATGGCCATCCGCAAGGATGAGCTTTCTGTCTCAAGTTATAGAGTAAAGACCCTGGCCGGGCGTGTGGAGGCTCACGCCTGTTAATCCCAGGCACTTTGAGAGGCCAAGGCGGGAGGATCATAAGGTCAGGAGATCGAGACCATCCTGGCTAACATGGTGAAACACTGTCTCTTACTAAAAATACAAAAAATTAGCTGGGCGTTGGTGGTGGGTGTGGTGGTGGCCTATAGTCCCAGCTACTTGGAGGCTGAGGCAGAGAATGACGTGAACACAGGAGGTGGAGCTTGCAGTGGAGTCGAGATTGCACCACTGCACTCCAGCCTGGGTGACAGAGTGAGACTCTATCTCAAAAAAAAAAAAAAAAAAAAAAAAAATGGAGTAAATACCCTAACCCAGAACCACCTCGAGGGCCTCACTTCCTTCTTGCTCAGTCTGCACTGTGCTCATGAACTTTGCATTGCTTTGAGGCCTCAGCAACAGAGTCCTTGAGCTGAGCTTCCAGCTACAAAAGGAAGATGCGCTTTTCATTAACACAAAGGAAGCACAGCCTCACCAATTAGATCTTCACCCAAAGGACCTCTAAGAGAACAAGACCTTGAAAGACCTTTGTATTTTTCCATCCTTCATCAAATCTTATCACAAATTAAAGTTTCCGAAATACACTTCAGGGTTCAGCTGAAATGGTCCGTTAGTAATAAAGCAAGTTCAAATTTTAATTTAATTTGATACTTGAGATTAGATTTCAAGAAAGGAGACTGATTTGTGAAAACAAGTACTTCTGATATCTGCAAAACACTGATTCACTTTTTAAATGCACGATTTCAGATGCACGCAGAAGAGAGGGTCATGAACCCCGTGTGCCTGGCACCCAGCTTTGACAGTGAGCAACTCAGCCGAGCCTGCTTCATCTCTGCCTACACCCAAACCATTAGAGAGCAAATCCCAGGCAATGTATCACTGCATCCATATGTGGAACGGTAATCCTTAGTTAGGGGTTTCGTTAACTCAAGTGGCAACTGGCTACAACAATAAATATATTTGGGTTCCAAAATAAACCGTCTAAGAAAACAAATAGGTATTCTGTGGCTAAAGGGCAAAAAGCCCTGAACCTGAAAGGAACATGAGCATATGCTTCCAGGCCTTCTCATTCGTGGAGTTCATTAAGTAAATTTTAATACAATTTTTTTGAGACAGAGTCTACTTCTGTCGCCCAGGCTGGAGTACAGTGGTGCGATCTCAGCTCACTGCGACCTCCACCTCCCAGGCTAAGTGATCCTCCCCCCACACTCAGTACTCGAGTAGTCGTTTCTTTTTTCGTTTTCTTTTTTGGAAGACCAGAGTCTTGCTCTGTTGCCCAGGCTGAGATGCAGTGGGCAGCGATCTCGGCTCACTGGGCGAGCGTCCACTCCCCAGGTTTCCTGGCCAATTCCGCTGCCTCAGCTCCGCTGAGTAGCTGGGATTACAGGCACCCGCCACAATGTTCCAGGCTATTTTTTTTTTTTTTTTTGTATTTTTAGTGAGAGACCGGGGTTTCATCCCTGTTAGCCAGGATTGGTCTCAAATCTCCTGACTGTGATCCACCGTGCCTCAAACCTCCCAAAGTGCTGGGATTACAGGCGCTGAGCCCACTGTGCTCGGGCCCGAGCCCTGGAGTATCTGTACCACAGTGCATGCCAGCCACCCCAGTTACTCCTTTTTTTCTTCTTTCTTGCTTTTTGTTTTTTTTTTTTTTTTTTGCAGAACAGGGGTTTCCCTCTGTGGCCCAGGCTAGAGTTCTGTGGCGTGATTTCGGCTCACTGCAACCTCTGCCTCTTGAGTTCAGGAGATTCTCTTGCTTCAGTTTCCTGAGTAGCTGGGACTACAGGCATGTGCCACCACAGGCTGGCTAATTTTTGTTTTCAGTATAGACGGGGTTTCACCATATTAGGCTGGTCTCAAACTCCCGACCTCAGGTGATCTGCCCACCTCAGCCTCCCAAAGTGCTGGGATTACAAGTGTGAGCCCCTGCGCCTGGCCACAGCCAGTTTTTTGTACTTTTAGTAGAGATGGGGTTTCATTATGTTGCCCAGGCTGGTCTCAAACTCCTGATCTCAAGCCACCTGCCCACCTTGGCCTCCCAAAGTGCTGGGATTAGAGGTGTGAGCCACTGCCCCTGGCCTTTAATCCAATTTTAAACTAAGCATTGCTTTAAACTAAGCATTGCTTAAAACATTATTAAGATCCATTTTAAAGTAATTTACATAATGCAGTTCAAGTTTTCAAAGATGTTTTATTAAGGTCATACAATATACCCCAGAGCTTAAAGTATAACAATAAAAAAATGAAAAAGAGCTCAGTCAATACCATCGCTGAAACATCTAAACAGCTTCCTCTTTCTGAGCTTTGTGGATCTTCAGATCTCCTGCCACATCGTGTTGACTTTCTGCATGGACACCTCCATCTCCTCCTTGTCCCACACCTTCTGCTTCTGGGAGCAGAGCTCTGCCACCAGCTCACTGAGCTCCAACAAGTCCCGCCGGGCCAGCTTTTGCTGCTGATGGGCATCTTTGAGTTCTTTGGCCTGGGAGTTCAATAACTCTGAGGCTTCAACCAATTGCTGAAAAAAAAAAATCACAATTATAGATGTTTTATGTTTGCTTAACAAAGGCCTGGAAGGTTTAGTCTTACACTATATTAAAGAGTTACAAGTGACAGCCAATGCTGGTTACACATTAAAGTCAAAGATTGGAGAAACCCCCTGCTTGGAAAAAGCCCTGTGCTCACCTCACCCTAGCCAGACATGCAATGGGAAGACCACCTGGGCTCAGGTGCCGAGCACCAACCCCACACCAAGCAAGACCCTGCAACTGCATGGAGTTGCTTCCAGCAGGACAGTTGGCTCTGGAACGCCAACCTCTGCCTGATGTCCTCTACACAAGTGCAAAGGTGAATAAAGCATTTGGGCACTCAATCTAGTTACTTAAACATAAGTGGAAACAGAAACACACACACACACGCACACACACAAAGTACTTAAGATTTAAATCAGGTCAGGCACGGTGGGTCATGCTTGTAATCCCAGCACTTTGGGAGGCTTAGGAGAGAGGCTCACTTGAGCCAAGAGTTCAAGACCAGTGCCTGGGCAAAATGGTGAGACTTCATCTCTTAAAAAAAATAAAAAGGAAAGAAAGAAAAGAAAATTAAGAAGAAAAAGATTTAAATCCAAGTCTCCCTCGGGTGGAGAGCCATAGCTGGACTTACCGTGAGATCAGCTGCACTGACAGCCCAATCTTACCACTTGCTGCCCTGATGACCCTGATCTCCCTGCAGCCGATCTACTCAGCAATCTGGCTGTTTAGTCGCGGTCACACCTGCTGGACTAAGACTGGAAGTGAGGAGACGTGGAGCAAGCTGGCAGGGCAGCCCCCCCACGGGGAGGAAAGGCCTCCCCAGGCCTCTCTGCCCGGCTCAGAGTTACTGTGACTACGTTAAGCAATGAGACGCCACACAGCCCAAGCTGCAGTCCCAGACAAGTCCTGCAGGGGAATGACACCACAGATGATCTTAAGAAGCAATTTGGGTTTAAAATCTGGCACGTTTTAGAGGACAGATCACAAACTATAGGTCCAAGGACTTAAGTGAATAAATGAATGTATTTTAGAAAACAGAACCTAATTGTGTTATTACTATACTGGCATTTGAACATAAAGTTTCACATATCTTACTAAAAACCAAATGTATGAAGGAGTTATGGGGGAATTACCCACATTTTAACCAATGGTCTCTTTTGCAGCTCCCTGTTATCACAAAGACACCCCTTCTAAGAGCAGGGGGGCATGGTGGAGAGAGAAGGGGGAGTCATTGGTGTCAGGCACAGCGTGTCACTGCAGATATCACAGACATGGTTCCTCATCAAAATTGGCAGGGGTGGAGGAGTTGCTGCTTACTTTGTGGGGCTGAACTGGAGAAGACAGATGACTGTGAAGTGGGTGCCTGCCGCAGGCAGGACGCTAGTAGGCAGCCATGACTGGCAGCCAAGCTCAGCCAGCTGACACGAGCTATGCAGCAACCAGCTGGACCCTAGAACCAGGCTTGGCCCTGGTGTCCGGCATGCAGCAGGGACAGCCCATGAGCAGGAGTCCCAAAGAGGTCTTTAAACATCTGTATGAACTCAACCTCACAAAACTCCGCAAAGGTTCGTAAGCCTTTCTCACCCAGAACCGAGTCACCTACCTTGCGCAGGTCCTCATTCTCCTGTCGCACCATGCTGCCTCTCTGGACCCACCAGCTGCTGCATAAAATCTTGGCAAAGTGTCCTTGTCCTCAAGTTGCCACTCAAGCCTGTTTGAATCTGAGCAAAAGAAGAAATCATGGCCGGGCGCGGTGGCTCAAGCCTGTAATCCCAGCACTTTGGGAGGCCGAGACGGGCGGATCACAAGGTCAGGAGATCGAGACCATCCTGGCGAACCCGGTGAAACCCCGTCTCTACTAAAAAATACAAAAAACTAGCCGGGCGAGGTGGCGGGCGCCTGTAGTCCCAGCTACTCGGGAGGCTGAGACAGGAGAATGGCGTGAACCCGGGAGGCGGAGCTTGCAGTGAGCCGAGATCCGGCCACTGCACTCCAGCCTGGGTGACAGAGCGAGACCCCGTCTCAAACAAAAAAAAAAAAAAGAAGAAATCATTTGTGCTCCTTTCTGTGTTGTGACTATATGTAAACTTTGTTAGCTGACTTACTGCAAGGATTTAATAATTGACAAGTTTTTTTTTGTACTGTATACTAAATAAAATACACAAGGTAGCAATACTTAGAGGCCAGAAATACTGTTTACTACAAGTCAGTTATGGAATCATAACTTACAGTAAAAATGGGCACATCCAAGACTCAATTTTTCTTTTGTCATTTTACAGTCGAATAAATATTTTGTTGCTAATTTTCCACACTCTCTCTGGGAATATGTTACTTTTATGATTGGAAAAATAAATATTGCAGTCATGTGGCATATAATGATGTTTCGGACAACATCAGACAGCATATATAACAGTGGTCCCATAAGATTATAATACCATATTTTTCTTGCAGCTTTTCTGTGTTTGGATACACAAATCCTTACTGTATAGGTCTGTAGCTGAGGGGCAATAGGCTGTACCATGTGGCCTAGGTGTGCAGTAGGCCGCTCCAACTAGGTTGGTCTAAGGACACTCTATGATGTTCTCACATCAACGAAATTGCCTGATGATTTCCGAGAACGTACCCCAGCCTCTGAGGGACGCATGACTGTACTGAAGAGCACCATGTGATACGGGCTACAGCTGAGTTCTGTGCACGATGTGGTTGGAGCCCTGAGGAAGGGGAGAGCTGTGGACTGAACTGTGTTCCCCCCATTATTAGACACTGAAGCTCCAGCCCCCAATGTGACTGTATTTGGGGACAGGGCCTATAAGGAGATGGTGAAGATTATGTGAGGTCATAAGGGTGGGCCCTGATCCAATAGGATTTGTGTCCTTATAAGAGACCAGGGAGCTTGAGCGCTGCCTTCCCCCACTCTGTGGGAGGACATAGTGAGAAGGTAGCTGTGTGCAAGCCAGGACAAGAGGCCTCTGGGACTTTTAGCCTCCAGAACTGTGAGAAACTAAAACTCTGTTGTTTAAGCCACTCAGTCAATGGTATTTTTTTTTAGGGCACCCGGAGCCAACTAAGATGGAAGGATTTACCCTCCTGGGGAGAAGAGGAGGGGGCTAGAGGCCTCCTCAAGTTTCCCTGGCTCTCCACGGAACTCCCTCCCTGTCCCTCCTCCTTGTACCAAAACATCCTTCTAAGGGCAGACCTGATCGCACTGTTCAGAGGTCCCCAAAGCCCACAGAAAAGTCTCAATTCCCGGACCTCATAAGTCCCATCCCACTGGGGGAGCTCCCTCTCTCTTCTCTGCTCTCCTCTCAGGAGGGAAAGTTAAAGGCCTCCTTGACCACCCTCTAGGGAGATGCCATGATGGGGTGCTGAACCCTGGTGATGAGCTGGGGGAAAGCCAGCACGTCTCTTCTGGTGCCGTTCCCAGAACTGAATACATACTGTTAAGATGATCTTTAGGAATGGAAGAATCAAACTGGGAAGAATCACATGCCTGTAGTCCCAGCCTGCAAGGAAGGCTGAGGCAAGAGGATCACTTGAGTCCAGGGGTTTTGAGTCCTGCCTGGTCAACATGGTGAGAACCACTGTCCAAAAAATAAATGAATCAACAATAAATAAAAAAATAAGGAAGAATCAGGTGACTGTTCCAGACTCCTTCGATATGAGTATTGTGTCCCCATTCTGCTCTTCTCAGGACAGGGCTGTGCCTTCCCCTTTCCCGGTGGCTGTAAACCCAGTTCTTCTCACTAAAGAAAAGAGAAAAGAAAAAGTGTTCAAAGCACTTTGAGTTACGCGAGGTGTGCAGAATGCATCAGGCCGAGAGAGACAGGAATGTGGGACTTCACATATTCAGTCAGTGTGTGACTTCAGGAGCACACTGCATACCCATGCCCCAGCGATTGTTTAAAGGCATTTTGTTCCTGATTAGCTTTATCTTCCTGCTACTGGAATTTGTGATACGAAAGACAATACAGAGTCAATAAACAGTTTATGTTATTTTAATATACATTCCTCTGGCCAGGCCAGCCAAGGTGGGAGGCTAGAGTTCAAGACCAGCCTCAGGCCAGGAGTTCAAGACCAGGCTGGGCAACACAGCAAGACTCCGTCTGGAGTTCAAGACCAGCCTTCAGGCCAGGAGTTCAAGACCAGGCTGGGCAACACAGCAAGACTCCATCTCTAGTTTTAAAATTCTTGGTAAACAATTTAGAAACTGCCCCTTCTTTTCCTTTAAAAACCCATTTGTAACTGCTGCTAATTAGAGTGTATATTAAGGCAACTTGCATCTCCAGGGTTGCAATTCTCAAACTTGGCCCAAATAAACTGTTTTTTGTTTTTTTTTTTTTTGAGACGGAGTCTCCCTCTGTCACCCAGGCTGGAGTGCGGTGGCACAATCTCGGCTCAGTGCAACCCCCACCTCCCAGATTCAAGCGATTCTTGTGCCTCAGCCTCCCAAGTAGCTGGGATTACAGGAACCCACCAACATGCCCGGCTAATTTTATTATGTTTTTATTTTTTGTAGAAACGGGGGCAGGGCGGGTCTCACCACCTAGACCAGGATGGTTGCAAACTCCTGACCTCAAGCAATCCTCCCGCGGAGGCCTCCCAAAGCACTGGAATTATAGGCCTAAGCCACTGCACCTGGCCCAACCTCTCCACCTATATTAATTTTACCTCTGCTTCTTCCTTTTTTATAATTTTTTGTTTGTTTGTTTGTTTGAGACGGAGGCTCGCCTAGGATGCAGTGCGATCTCAGCTCACTGCAACCTCTGCCTCCCGGGTTCACGCAATTCCCCTGCCTCAGCCTCGCGAGTAGCTGGGATTACAGGCACGCCCACCATGCCCGGCTAGTTTTTGTATTTTTAGTAGAGATGGGATTTCACCACGTTGGCCAGGCTGGTCTCGAACTCATGACCTCAGGTGATCTACCCGCCTCTGCCTCCTAAGTGATGGGATTACAGGTGTGAGCCACCGAGACCCACCCACTTTTTCCTTTCAGATCACAAAAGTGATCGAATCTCGCCACTTCCCGGGTGCCGGGTGGGAAGGTAGGGTGATTGCAGTGCTGCTGAGAGTTGGGTAGATGCCCGGAAGGCCTCTCAAAGGCGGCCCTGTTTGCAAAGATCTGAATAAGGCACCTCCAGAGGAGCCAGCCTGGGGCAACTGGGGAGGAGGCAGCGGCACAAGTTCGTGGTCAAGCCACTGTCAGGCTGAGAGCTTACTTACAAAGCAATGTTCCTCGACCCACAAAGAAGCAGTAGCTGCTCCAACCCAGCTCAGGGGACCCCCAGAAACGTCTCAGCCCATGCACTGCCCTCTGACCGCGCGACCTTCCCGCCGCTCCTGCATCCAATCAGAGGGCCACCTCTGAGCCTGCTGCCTTCCCGCCAATCCTGCATCCAATCAGAGGGCGTCCCCACTACGTTTATTGAGCAACAGCCAATTGAAACTGGGATCAAAGCCTTGGCCCGCCTCCCCAGAGCTCTGGACCAATGGTGGCCTGGCACCAGCGGGCCAATCCCAGACAGCGTGCGGTGGGAGGCTGTAGTTGGACGTGTGCAGCTGCAGCGGCCGTTTCTGTCGGGTAGTAGCGTTGGACTGCAGCAGCGGCGGAGCTCAACATGGTAAGGCCTGGTCATTCCTGACCCGCAGACGTCCAGGCTGGAGGGTAGACGAAGTTGGCCTCTTGAGGTGGCTGGACGGAGGAATGCTGTTGCGGGTGCAGAGAGGAGGCCAGAGAAGGACGCGGGGCCCAGGGCGGGACACGGGGTCTTCTACTGGGTCTGCAGGCTCCAAGGCAGGGACGGCAGCTTTTGTTTTAGAGGAAGCTGCCGGCCTTGAGTCGGTGGACAGGGAGCATTGACGGTGTCCCGTCCCCCAGAGAGCAAACAGTGGTGTCACCTCCTGAAGACAAGAGGGCGCTGCTCCCGCTTTCCGGTCTCCAAACGTCTCAGTGCTACTGGAAACCACTGAGGAACCCCAGGAGCCTTAGCTGATGGAGGCTGCGGCTGTGAACATTGGTCAGATCAGGAATTAAAGCTCAGACGCTGCTAAAACATTGCCTCATTCACCTAAAAGCAACACGGTGGGTGGGCGCGGTGGCTCACGCCTGGAATCCCAGCCCTTGGCGAGGTGGAGGCGGGGGATCCCCTGAGGTCAGGGGCTCCGCACCAGCCTGGCCAATATGGCGAAAACCCTTCTCTACTAAAAATACAAAAATTCCCAGGGTGGTGGCGTGGATCTGTGGTTCCAGCTACTCGGGAGGCTGAGGTGGGAGGGTCAGCTGAGCCCAGGACTGACTTCCAGGCTGCAGTGAGTCACGGTGGTGCCACTGCACTCCAACTTGGGTGACAAGAGAGACACCCTGCCTCAAAAAAAAAAAAAAAAAAGCAACCAACACATTCACATAAAGAACAGATTTGCAAGTTCCAAGTCTGAATAGCTATGGCCGTGGTCTGTCAAGTATCATTTTTTTTTTTTTTGAGACGGCTCAACAGCTCTGTTGCCCAGGCTGGAGCACAGTTGCAGGATCACGGCTCACTGCAATCTTGAACCCCTGAGCTCCAGTGATCCTCCTGCCTCAGCCTCCTGAATAGCTGGGACTACAGGTGTGTGCCACCACACCTGGCTAATGTTTAAATTTTTCGACTCGGTACGGTGGCTCATGCCTGTAATCCCAGCACTTTGGGAGGCTGAGGCGGGCATATCACAAGGTCAGGAGCTCAAGACTATCCTGGCTAACACGGTGAAACCCCGTCTCTACTAAAAATACAAAAAATTAGCTGGGCATAGTGATCTGTAGTCCCAGCTACATGGGAGGCTGAGGCAGGAGAATTGCTTGAACCCAGGAGGCAGAGGCTGCAGTGAGCTGAGATTGTGCCACTGCACTCCAGCCTGGGTGACAGAGTGAGACTCTTGTTTCAAAAAAATAATAATTTTTTTTTCATAGTTGTCCAGGCTGGTCTCAAACTGGTCCCAAGCGATCTCAGCTCAGCCTCCCAGAGTGCTGGAATTAATGGCATGAGCCACCACACCCGGCTTGGCAGGGTTTAAAGAAACCACCAAAGGACAGTGCAGTGTCCCAGCACTGATGATGTCTGGGAGCCATTACACTCCTAGGCTTCAAGGGGTGGAGGGGAGGGAGTGCTTACAAAAACTTGAGAGGGTAACTTTATGAAGAGGGCCACCTGTGAAAAGTGTGGCCTTGTTGGAGGGATTTGGATCACCCATGAAAGTTGAGCAGGAAGGGGCCAAGGGGAGAGTACCCTGATGCCTCCTCCAGCCTCCTGGTCTCCTGCTGCTGCCTGTCATTGAACAAACCAGCATGAAGCCAGAGGGCAAGATAGGCCTCTGACACTGTCCTCATGGGTCAGCCTCTGGGAGCAAAGAGCAGGTGGTGAATGATGGAGGGTAGATCTGGGGAGGGCAGAGAGAGGACACATACTGAACACCTGGGCTTGGACCACAGTGACCTGGGACCTACTCTCTATTTCTTCACCCAACCCAATTACCTTATCCTTTGATCAGGACATAATCAAAAACTGCTGTGTACTCTTCAGAGCATTACTGTGACTGGCTATAATGTGGGGTTGATTATTGGCATTGCATGGCTTCCAAGTTTTAAAATAATCTAATTTTTGTGTAGTGGCAAACATTAGGTTCTAGGGCTACCTCTGGAACTTAGCAGCTAGGATGGTTTAGAGCAAGTAAGTTTTCACAGGGATTAAGGGGTCAGTCCCCTAACCCTCCTAGGAAATATCAATTGTGAAAGCACCAGATACTGAAGCACTATACAAATATTAAATTAGAATATTTTGCATGCCATATAGCTTCAAGTTGCCTTGAAATGAATGGGTCTACATTTATGTTCCGGTTCACAGCGCGAGTGTATCTCTATCCACGTGGGGCAGGCAGGTGTCCAGATTGGCAATGCCTGCTGGGAACTGTACTGCCTTGAACATGGAATTCAGCCCGATGGTCAGATGCCAAGTGATAAAACCATTGGTGGCGGGGACGACTCCTTCAACACGTTCTTCAGTGAGACTGGGGCTGGCAAGCACGTGCCCAGAGCAGTGTTTGTGGACCTGGAGCCCACTGTAGTTGGTAGGTGCTCGGGCCCTGGATGGCAGCTTTCCTGGGAGGGTGGGAGAGCATCATCGGTAAAGCCCCATGTGGGCTCCTTTGAATCCTCCTGCAGAAGGTATGAGATAGACAAGCATATGCCCATGGTGTTGTTAAGAGAGAAACTGAAAGGTTCATGATTAAAGTGTCTGTGAGACTCGGCTCCTCATTTAGGAAAACCTGACCTACAGGGAAAAGCTGCTTTGGCAGCAATAAGATGGGCTGTGGAGACATTCCCTCTGGCTGCCTCAGCCCTGCTCAAGTGGCTCTGCCTGCAGGGCACAGTGGCATTGGTTCCATCCTAAATGCTGTGCACTCTCTTATGCTGGTGCACAAGAGTCTTGACCTGCATCTTAGGCATAGAAGGTTAAGTACAGCACAGTCATTTGCTTCCTCCAGATTAGCAGCCCAAGGTAGTTTCCAAGAAGAACTGCAAAGAGACAGCCCCTTTCAGTGGCCCCATATGAGATGACAGTGTCACCTGAAAGCCTGTGGGGCCCAGGCCACACAGGGTGCCCTGATGGGACTGCTGCAGAAGTCACATTGACCTGGTGACTTCCCAGTTTGTAAGAGTTTTAACTTACAGCTTTTGATGTAGCTACATGTAGGAAAGAATTAGGTACCTGTACAATTACCTGTGTGTGGGTGTTACAGCTTATTTCCCTTCACTGGGAACTGGTAGTGCTGACATTTGTACTGCAAGCTGAGTTTAACTTCCTAGAGTCATAAATTGCAGTTTGATTATCACACATTTGCACTTTGGTTATCACACAGAGACATTTCCTACCAGACACTGCCACTGTTGAGCTACAACATGTAGGTCATGTACTTTGAACAGCATGTACTTTGTAGAAGTGAAGAGTCCTGGAATGTGTTCATCTTGGTGAGTATAGGCCTTAAAGATTCACAGTACATTCGGTCTCTTTTGTAGATGAAGTGCGCACAGGAACCTACAGGCAGCTCTTCCACCCAGAGCAGCTGATTACCGGGAAGGAAGATGCGGCCAATAATTACGCCAGAGGCCATTACACCATTGGCAAGGAGATTGTCGACCTGGTCCTGGACCGGATCCGCAAACTGGTAAGAAGAGAAGGCTTCCTGTGACCATTGTCCTGCACAGGAGGGTAGATCTTGGATTGTGAAGGGGAGGTCATTTTGTCAAAACTTAGACCAGCACTTTGGCCGGATCTGGTGACTCACGTCTGTAATCCCAACACTTTGGGAGACCAAGGTGGGCAGTCACCTGAAGTCAAGAGTTTGAGGCCAGCCTGGCCAACATGGTGAAACCCTATCTTTACTAAAAATACACAGATTAGTCAGGCATGGTGGTACCTGCCTGTAGTCCCAGTTACTCAGGAAGCTGAGGCAGGAGAATGGCTTGAGCCCAGGAGACAGAGGTTGCACTGAACCAAGCTCATGGCATTGTACTCCAGCCGGGGCAACAGAGTGAGACTCTATCTCAAAAAAAAAAAAAAAAAAAAAAAAAAAAAAAAACTTAAACCAGCATCTTGAGTCCGATTGAGTCTGCAGTGGTCTTAGTCTGAAGCATGCATGGTGATTTGTCTGTAGATCTTTGCTTTTCTTTGCTTCAAAGTGTACTGCGTATTTATTATGGATGATTTGAATCCATATCAAGTCTTCAGAGGCAAAGAGAAGTGGCCCTGGCTTAGTGGAGGTTGGTGGTGTGGCTTCCATGGGCATTGGCTCACATTGTCTGGTTTCTCTCAGGCGGATCTGTGCACAGGACTGCAGGGCTTCCTCATCTTCCACAGCTTCGGTGGCGGCACTGGCTCTGGGTTTGCATCTCTGCTCATGGAGCGGCTCTCGGTGGACTACGGGAAGAAGTCCAAGCTAGAGTTTGCCATTTACCCAGCCCCCCAGGTCTCCACGGCCGTGGTGGAACCCTACAACTCCATCCTGACCACCCACACAACCCTAGAACATTCTGACTGCGCCTTCATGGTCGACAATGAAGCCATCTATGACATATGTCGGCGCAACCTGGACATTGAGCGTCCCACGTACACCAACCTTAATCGTCTGATTGGGCAGATCGTGTCCTCCATCACGGCCTCTCTGCGATTTGATGGGGCCTTGAATGTGGACTTGACGGAATTCCAGACCAACCTAGTGCCGTATCCCCGCATCCACTTCCCCCTGGCCACCTATGCCCCAGTCATCTCAGCCGAGAAGGCCTACCATGAGCAGCTGTCCG